CCCCCTTCCATCCGGCATCTAATGGCCAAGCCGAACGGATGGTCAGAACGGCCAAAGAGGCCCTGAGTAAAATGGACGAGGGAGACTGGAGCCAGAGGCTGGGCTCCTTTCTTTTGCGGCAGCACACCACCCCCTGTAGTGCTACAGGCCGTAGTCCGGCCGAATTGTTAATACGAAGGTGACTGGAGCCAAAGGCTGGGCGCTTTCCTCTTGCGGCAGCATACCACCCCTTGCAGTTCTACAGGCCGTAGTCCGGCCGAATTGTTAATGGGGCGGAGACTCACGACCCGTTTGAACCGTATGCACCCAGACTTATCAGAAGATCACTCCGAGCGTACCACTGCGCAACCAAAAGTGCGCATGTTTGAAAAAGGGGACAAGGTTCTTGCACGAAATTATGCAAACGGGCACTTGTGGCTTCCTGGGGTTATATCCGACTCTGTGGGTACTCGAATGTATGTGGTGCAGTTGGCTGACGGTCGAATCTGGCGGCGCCACATAGATCAGTTAAGGAGACGTTGGGCTAAGGACAGCGCTGACTCTCCGACGGCTGATCCCCCTGATGTTGACTGGAGACCCCCAGAGCAGGCGGTGAGTACCGAAAGGCCCGGTACTGTCCCCGAGTCAGGGCAGACCCCTGAGTGCGGGGCTGAAACCCCAGCAGAGTTGGTGCCTGAACCAGGCTGTGTTGAACCCCACACGGGCTCGCAGCCTTGTATGCCCATGGAGCCTGCACCGCTCCGCAGGTCCCAGCGCTCGCGGCAAATGCCGACCTATCTCAAGGACTACGATTGTAGTACGGTATCTTTGAACAGTTAATGTACAACGGCACGTTTTACATGTATGTAAATAATAAAAAACGAATGGGATGATGGCTTAACTTAGGGGGGAGGAATTGTAATGTATTGGCACAGTTACATGAATCACCTCATTAGACACCCATGTTAAGCTTCGAGCCAAGCCAGGGCTCCTCTGACCGAACTTCCTATTGGTCGCTTTGTAACAGCGACCAATCAGAACTGAACTGTTCCCCTGCGAGGGAAAGCTTCTCATTGGTCTTTAACCAAGCAATCTTATTGGTTGTTATTTGTAAATAGGCGTGGCTACATTAGCCCGGTTATGTTTAAAAGGAGCATAAGCTCCCACTGTTTTCCGTTCTGGTTTCTTACTGAGTTGAGTGCTTGTTCGTTACTTCCAATAAAGCTGAATCACTTGCTGAATCACTCTAAGAGTCCTTTGTTAGCGCGATCTAACAGTTTGTTTTTTCATAACAGACAAACCGAACATACACACATATAACACAAACGGGGGTATGAAATGCTTGTGTTTCCAATGAGTGTCTCTTAGACATTCTCTAATACAATATCGCGTAACATTATTTTCTATGAGCTCACATTTTTGTATCTTAAAACCAACATCTGTACCTGCTATCTCAATGTTCTAACCTCTACTTTGCTCTGGGGATTACATTTTTAGGTTACAATCATTTGCACTATTATACCAATTACAGAAGAGCCCCCATGTGTTCTGGGATTTATAGTTTGTGGATCCTCTTATCAACTAAGTCAATTTATCACTTTCCACTGTTTCCATCAGTTTTTGTATATATTCCTGCTTTTTTGGTACATCTTGTGCCTTCCAGTATTTGGCATATAGCATTCTTGCCGCTGTAGTTAAGTAGATAATTAAATATCTGTTGCTTTTTTCAAAGTCTTTAGGTAGTATACTCAGAAGCATTACTTCGGGCGTAAATGGAATTGCATGTCCCACTATCTTCTGCATTATTGCATGAATCCATCTCCAGTATCTCTTAGTTACATCACAATGCCACCGCATATGATAAAAGGATCCTGTAGTAGATAAACACTTCCAAAATTTGTTTCCATGGTGCGGAAAGTCTCTTATAGCCGGGTGGAAGCTCTCTCTGGAAGAAACCTTGCTTGAGGATTTTTAAAATAAACCGCACTCTATTTAAATGTTCACAAGCGAGCTAAATGCAATCGGTGAGCCCTTGATTTGCGAAAAAAGTCAAATTCTGACAGGCGAATTTTAAATTGAGCACAGAAACGTGAGTGAAAGAAACTGCTCTGTGTTCTCAAAGTAAAGACTGTAGTATTTGAACTCCCCAATAGACTGGGAAAATCTCCCTAATTCTACTTAACTGGCCAGAACAGAAAGGGAGAAATTTCCAACTTGAGCTGTGTTTTGGCAAAGTAGAGAGGAAACCGAACGGCTGGGGAAACAAATACCATCAAACTGCTAATAGAAGCACAAGGAAAAATATAAAGAGAGATTTTATAGAAGCTGTGGAGTTTTGTGGATGTATAAAGAGATCGCAAGTCCCCACATTTTTCTCCGATCTCAATTTTTCCCTCCACTGGGAGGGGGGCAGGAGGCCCATTATAACTGGCTCTCTTGAACTTTTAAGAGGTTTGCCGCCGTGATCATGAGAATCAGAGAACCGAGAACAACAGCCCTGATATTCAGTTCCGGCAAGATGGTCTGCACGGGAGCAAAGAGGTGAGATGGTTTTGTTTTTACGGTGAATCCGGGAAAATGTGGCACTGTGGCTCCTACTCCGTCAAAGCCTAGCGGGTTGGGGCAGTCCAGCACTTTGAGAACATTACCCTTTTTCAGGGACATCAACTCCCTTTTGGGGTTAAAGCAAGTTTTTAATCTTTTATGGTTTCAAGGTAGGCTTGAGAGTGGTATCAGCAATGCCTGGTGATTTCGGAAGCCTCAGCCTCTCTGCCCTGTTGTTGGCCCTCCAAAAGAACTGGGTGGTCACTGGGTGAGATGGGATGCTGGACTAGATGTCCCTCACTGGTCTGATCCAGCAGGGCTCTTCTTATGTTCCTATGAACGCCTAGGCCTCTGTGCCCTGTTGTTGGCCCTCCAAAAGAACTGGGTGGTCACTGGGTGAGATGGGATGCTGGACTAGATGTCCCTCACTGGTCTGATCCAGCAGGGCTCTTGTTACGTTCTAATGAAGGTCTAGGCCTCTATGCCCTGTTGACGGCCCTCCGAAGGAACTGGTTGGCCACTGGGTGAGACAGGATGCTGGACTGGATGGACCCTCACTGGTCTGATCCAGCAGGGCTCTTGTTATGTTCTAATGAAGGTCTAGGCCTCTCTGCCCTGTTGCTGGCCCTTCAAAGGAATTGGTTGGCCACTGAATGAGACAGGATGCTGGACTAGATGGACCCTCCCTGGTCTGATCCAGCAGGGTTCTTATGCGTTTATCAGGGGAAGGCCTCAGTCTCTCTGCCCTGTTGTTGGCCCTCTAGAGGAACTGGTTGGCCACTGTGTGAGACAGAATGCTGGACTACATGTACTATTGGTCTGATCCGGCAGGGCTCTTACGCAGTGGAACTTTCTGCTGAACGGATCTTGCATGTAAACATATAGTAGGATGTTACTGATGGAACAGTGCCACATTCTGAAGGTTAATCTAGCACGGTCCTGAAGTGTAATGCGGAAGCACCATTTTAACTCTGCTTGCTGCAGATTGTGGAATGGCTAAGCTGTCCAAAAAGGGTCCTAGCGCAGAAGCAACCTTCGCGGGGTTTTCCGATCATTGGAAGGTGGGGTTTCAGTGCCCTGCGCGGCTCATCCGACTTGCCCTCTAAGAGGAGGAATAGACTAAATTGCTCAAAGTAAAGGCATGCCCATTTGCTTTCGTAAAAGTTCTTAAATTTGCGTTTTTGCCCAAAGGGCTCAGCTCAGTGGGCCTTCTTAAGGCTTCGGTGCCTGGATTTCTCGCTTCTTCATTTTTCGCCCCCTTGTCTGACCTCTGCAGCGAAGAGCAGTCCAGGCTGGCTGCCCGGAAGTATGCCCGGGTGGTGCAGAAACTCGGGTTCCCGGCGAAATTCCTAGACTTCAAAATTCAGAACATGGTGGGCAGTTGCGACGTGAGGTTCCCCATCCGTCTGGAAGGCCTGGTTCTAACTCACCAGCAG